TGCTCGACACAAAAAAAATTACTTTCACATTTCACGTAAAAAACCGCCACAAGGGACAAAACCAAGTAAACATAAAATACTTGCTTGCATCAGACTGACCAATATTCTCCTAACAAGCGATGGTGTGGGTAGATTGTGTCTACAGTGCCAGTCTTCTCGATGGGTCCCGCTCGCACTTTAAACGGTAAGGTTTCGAGGGCCCACCCAAATTCTCGCGTCGTACTCGATTTGTGGGCACATGCCGGGCATTATGCACGGTAATTCCCACTAAGTCTTGCGATCATTCATTTTGTGGTTGTTATCAAAATACTTTGAGTTAATCTTTGAGAAAAGTTTCAAAATGGTGATGAGGCTATTTGTTAAATTCTTCCAAATTTTTACTAACCATTTCAAATTTAGCTGGGCCTTCGATTATACCCAATTTCGAATAAGGGAATGTCAGTTTTGCGAGAAAATTCTCTTTAGCGATTTCCGCCCTTGTTGTTGCCACAGGAAAACAAGGCGGGAAAACGGGGAACCAGGGACCAGTCGTTTGTCAGTAAACCAAATTTCGTCGGTCGGGTAACATGGAAAACATAAAATGTGGAATTCTGACTGCACAACGTATCAGAGGAAGTTAATTTACACATACTAGCAAACTTGGCGTCACCGACCTCTGTAAACGGTTAAAAAATAGTTTCATGAGTTGAAAATTTCTTTTCATGCCCAGCTTTGTTTTAAATATGTATCTTTCAAATAATCTGGCATTGGACTTGCTGTAGCTAAACTAGTAACTGAAAATGTTATTCTCCCGTCGAAAAGTTCCTAATGCCCAATAGGCCTTGTGTGTTACTTTCACACGGACTGTTTCTTATTGAAATTTCAAAAATTATAATCGCCTAACAACCGAACTTTCACTTGCACACCCACTAGTCTCTTGATGCTACATAGAAAATTTTAGTACCAGCACTACATTTTTACGCTTTTTTGGTAATATGTGACCCAAAAAAATGCGCGTAGCACATTAGTACAAATTCTAAATGCCAAAAATGAAATCATACTTAATTAGTCCGAAAATTCTATCGCAACATCTTTTACAACAAAATTTTGGTTCTTTCCCCGATTTCCTTAATAACGTCCGATCTCTCTTCCTCCTAATTTTTGAAGAGATAAAACTTCATCAAACCTCCGTAAATCTTGTCATTCTAGTCTGAAAATTGCCCTCTATAAAAAATTCCGCCTGGTTTCTTTGCCGATTCTAGCGTTGCACGGCCGGAGTGCGTAACATTTAAAAAGTGACTATTTGTCTGTAGGTTAATAACGGTATCAGCTAATTAGAATAAGAAATACGTTGGTCACACTTTCATCGATTAAATCGCATTTGCACACTTGTGTACAAGTCTACATATATCGATTTAGGGAGGCGTTTGGTTTAATTTTGCCATTTCAATAAGACAGCAGTGTCAAAACACAAAAAAACACGTTGTTTTGGAAATTTCTTTTAAATCTTCTAATGGGACCCGAAAACCAAATTATCGCCAGAGCAGAAACGTTGTCCCATCGTTTGCCCCGATTGCCCCCATCATTCATCAGTCCCCACAGCAGACCGAGACGCGCTCGAATGACACCTCATACGTCTCGATTGGTGCACGGGGAGTGGTTCAGCCGCGAGTGACGGAGTAAGAGAGACACACATTGCGCATCCCACATTCAAGACTTTGACTGAATACATATACATGATAAGAGAAAGAATTACTTATTATTTTCTGGAATCAGAGACTCTCAATACTAGTTTCTTCTGCGAAATATCGCACTTTTCCTGCAACACTACATAAAATACCTCTCAAACAGTGTAAAATAAATAAATCAGAAGATATTGAACAGTTGTAAATAAAATAACCAAGAGAAAGTGAGGTCGTATTGTAAGAAATTAACCTAGTAAAGAACCACAAGCACTGCTGCAACCATCTGTTTTTTTTTTTATAAATAAATCAAATATATTTAGTGGATCATTTAAAGAAACACAATAAACGTCTTTGTTAAAATATTAAGCATGAATGTTAAAAATAATATATTACAAAGTTTCTTAGTGGTGAAGTAAACCACATGTAATATTTTAACAAAGACGGTTGAAGTTAAGGAAAGACAACAATTTTACGTTGTTACACAAGTGTCAAATACCAATTATTAAAATGAATGTGACCACAACATTTCTTATTCAAATTAACTACACCCTTATTAACCTAATACAAAATAGTCACTTATTTAATGTTAAATTGGTTTCGCGTGCAACGCAGATTCCGCCACAGAAAGCGATTTAATTAGAGCCAATTTCATAAGTACGAGGTGAACACAGATTATAGCTGAGGATTGAAGTTTTAATCTCTTCCAAAAATTAGGGCGAAAAAATACGGACGTTTTAAGGAAATACGGGAAGAATCTAAAATTTGTAGTAACAAGATATATATATATATTATATATATATATATATTATATAAATGATATATATATATATAGATATATATATATATTATATATATATAATATAACAAAGTTGGGTAAGTTATACCATATTATAAACTCAAGAATGGCTGGAGGATGGACCAATTTGAATTATCTCTAATTTGTTGGATTCATCTCGGAATAGCAGAATAACTTAAAATATCAGAATAATGCACGAGAAAAAAAACTATATATTTATACTAAATGCAACCCGCAGCACACTGCAAGATTTGTTTTTCTATATAGCATTAAATAACTCCTAAATGAAGTATTCTAGGGCATTGAAATCTAAAATTTTTAGTCAAAGAATCGTTTCTGACACCTTAATCTATAGGATGAGATCTTTACATTTTTGCTGGTTTTCATTTTAATTTTAATTCTTTTTAATTTAATTTCTATTCAAACTGCGATTCACACGAGCTTCATTTTGCTCTCCATTACCGTGTGACCCAGGGTGGCGTCGAGCAGGACAGGAAGAGCTTGGGAACGTATACTAATGCTGAGCTGGGAGACGACAGAGAGTGGGCGGTTGCTGCTAGAGATCAAGCAGTTCGTAATAGCGCTGACGTAATAGCTGGGAAAGATGACGGCGGGGGATGCCATTGGACAGCGTTGATGGTTGAACTGAGGGTAGTCTGCGACTCCTGAAAAAGCATCCGCTAAAATATAGTTGAATTCTATGGAAAGTACGCTTACGTGAGTGACGAACAAAGAGACGGATGTAACTCGGGCTGTATAAGTAAAATGTATTGTCAAATAAATTTTAATTGCATGTAAATCGATCTGTTAGAACCGATTTAGCTTTAAAAATACTTATTCTATAAGTATGACATGTAAACACATTACAGTTACTACCCATGGACAACGTTAGTTTTTGTTTTACAGTGATATCCCAATATCCCGCAACACACGGCAAACTTTCTGACTCGATATCGTTAAATAAATTCCAAACGAAGCGTTCTAGGGCATTAAAACTTCAACATTCTGTTTCATTTCAGTTGGTCCGGCACTTCTCGACATTAACCCACCTGCTTAAAGACATGCAGAATCTGCAACTAAATGTGTATGAGAGGGTCAGAGAGACAGAGAGGGAGCGAGAGGGAGAGTGAGTTATAGGTAGAGGGAGAGAGGGCGAGTGAGAGAGAGGGTGGGACGGAGAGAGGGGCAGGGACGGAGAGAGGGGCAGGGACGGAGAGAGGGGCAGGGACGGAGAGAGGGGGAGAGTAGGAGAGAGGGAGAGGAACGGAGAGAGGAGAGACGGAAGGAGGGGAAGAGAGGGGGAGAGACGAAGAGACGAAGGGAGGGGGAGAGACGAACAGAGGGACGAAGGGAGACGGGGTGACGAAGAGGGGCGACAGGCTAAGAGGTGGAGAGACGAAGAGGGGAGACACAGAGAGAGAAGGAGAAAAAGGGAGATGAAGGGCAGAACAATGTCTGCTGGGTTTCGCTTGTGTGTTAGTAAATAGGCGAGAAAGCAAAAAGTGATGCTATTTATAAGAAAGTTTAAATGTATCAGTGGAGCGTTATGTAAAGTACAATCTAAAAGTAGAAGATTCATTTCAAATTGGGAAGGCGGGTTCGACATCAGCCAGATCTATCGAAGAATATTGATTTTGTTGAAAATACGTTATACGGTTTAGTACACTAATGTTATTCACAAATAGACCGACAGGCGAACGAACAAACGGACAGTTTGAGGAAAAAACACACTTTTTCTGTATCAAGGAAATGTGTTTATCCGACAAAATATTGACATCCACTTCTGCAACATTGCATTCCTTTCTTATTTCTGCATTTACGAAACAAAAGACCTCTCTCCCTCTGCGAGGTCAGCATAGCAACGCTCACGCGTACAGATGACCATTTTTTCACGCAGACAGAACGCAGAAATGGAGGGATAAACATTGCAGTATGAGTTGTCGAAGAGCGTCGCATTTTAGGAGAAGCTTCAAGAGGTTCTCAAAAACGAATCATGATTTCAGAGTTGCACTCTTACACACTTCAATTGACGTATTTTTTGGCCTACCCTAGAGGTGATCGTCGGCCTTTTAGACCCTAGGTTCAAGGACGAAATAACTTTTCTTGATCGCCTCTACATTTTCCTTGCATTTGTACAAGTTTTCTAGAAAACCCTGCTTAAATTTCTAGAAAAACTCCTCTGGTTTGTTATAAGTTATTGAGGAATTTCTCTAAGAAGGGACCACTTTGAGAAGTCGGGAAACAAATGAGCGTCACGCAGGGCAATGACATTGCAAGAGGTAATGATGAAGCCCTTTACAAATGAGCGAACCGTGGACGAACGTACTGACAAAATGAGTGTATATAGTCGTAATTTGCAGATATATTACCTGCAATAACCAGGCAGTAGCTCTGAAAGCAGTCCCTTCTTATAGTATCTCTCTTTAAGTATAAGTATATTATTTTAATCGCCAAAAATGTATGTGTAAATGTTATTTGTGCACATGTGATGGGGCTTCCGCTTCGTCGTGTGTTAAGCTGGGCGTGGCTGGTGTGCGCAGGCGACTTGTTCGTGCTGGTGTTCAGCCTGGACAGCCGCGAGTCGTTCGAGGAGGCGGTGCGACTGCGCGAGCAGATCCTGGAGACGAAGCTGAGCGCGTGTGCGTCGGCCAACGGCACGGGCAGCGGGCGGCGCAAGGCGGCGGTGCCCCGCGTGCCCATGGTGCTCGTTGGCAACAAGAGCGACAAGGAGATGAGGTGACGCACGGCCTCTCCGCTGGGAGCGCTTCCCGCAGCCGCCGCCTACCCTCTTGCACAACACACGGCGTCACTGAGGACAGCCGCAGTTGTGGGCACTACAGGCACACCGCCTTTAGCTAGCGTGTTCGACAAACACTACAATACTGCTCCCAAACCGAGAAATGAATCTCAAGTTTGCTTGTTTGATGGTTTTTTCGTATTATCTTTCCGTAGAAATGTAAAGAAGGTACCGGATATAATTCCTAAGCAATAAGGTCCTAACTTATTAATAAATAGTAGAAAATCACTAACGAAAAATAAGTTTCTCATGTCGTAAATGGATGTACATTTACAATACTAGCCAAAACGTTTTAGTTTTCTGATATATTCCTTTTAGGCTTAAGTGGGGAAATGTGTTAATTAAATTTTTACTTAAAGTATTAGGGCTATAATACCACATACTTTCTCGTAATATTTGTAACGGCTAAACAATAGTATACTAGCACGTGAACCAGTAAAAGTATTTCCATCCAGCAAACCTTTTTCCACCTCTCCGAACTCAGGTATATCGACTCAACTCCTCATGCTCACAGTTACACTACGCAGACGCTCGACGGTATTCACTTTTGCCGACGCTCAGAAAACAAATGATATCTTCCTTTATTTCTAACTTATACAATTTTCCAAAATTAAAAAAGCTCGCGTAAAATGTGAGCAGCACCATTTTTTACCGTTCTTTGTCACATACGAGAAAAAAATTGAAGAAACATTTGGAGACGTTTCTAAGAAAAAAATGCCTATTTCATATTGCCTGTTGTTCATTATTGCCTGTGTGACAATTGCCGAATTTCACGAAAATGTGAAAAGTACTTATATTTTCGAAAACTTGTAGATGACCATACTTCCAAACCTGTTTTTGAAACTCATATTTCTCAAAGGAAAATATCTCTATCTCCAATATTGTAGTTAAAGGAAGACCCCAAAATAGTTTCAATCTTTGCAATTTTCAAAAAGAGAGATTTCCGCGAAAATGAGACTTGCGCTATTTTTACAAGTCTTCTGTACACTATTCGAGGACAAAATATGAAGTTATGTGAGGCCATTTTTGAGAAAACTGAGGTTGTTGTGACTTCTTGTAAATTACCTTAAAATCAAAATTACGTTTCAAACTCTCTGAGCCTCGAATTCCTTCAGATTGATTGGCAATGTCAGTTTTGGAGACACGGTTTAGGCTCTAGAGATATGGGCAAATGGCGCTAGCGTTGACCACAAACAGACTCATGGACATTTTGCAGTGAAAGAAATGTTGAATTGAATTGAATTTACCTTATTTTACGTGGCGAGACTCGGGCCATTAGGCCCGCTCTTCCGTCTGACCACGCAAATTTCGCGTCGCTCCATTCATCAACTAACAAAGGAAAGAGGTATTGGGCGAGAAACAGGCTATTTGAATTTAGCTCAGAGGCGTCATTTAAGCTTGAGGAGCTTTTACATGCAAGTAAATTTACTAACATGGGACAGCCGGCTTTACGTCGTACGAGGGATTGTTCACCCTTAAAAAATCCACGGCTTCGTTCGGGTTTGAACCCGCGGACTTGTGCACAACAGGCCGGTACGCTAACCGTTACACCATAGCGCCGCCGCCTGTTCAGTACCAACTGAACTCGCATTCTGATGTCAAAATGTGTTAGAGGAAGTAATTTACGACATATACGATAGTAACACGACTATTAACTTGTTCGTTGCCAGGGCCTGACAAGACTTTGTCGAAAAATAGCAGTTTGCTGCCGCAGAATTACATTACCATTTACTACGTAAGAACGTAGTGGCTGAGAAAGTAAAAATTAAAAAACCTGATCCGTTTTTTTGAGAAAATGATTGTTTACAAATTGTCTATATTTAACGTAAAATAACAGGAAAACTACTCTCAGTTTCGAAAGATTGAACATGGGCTTATTTCAAGATCTAACTTTGAACAATCGCTTTCTCTACCAAAAATATTTTTTTCATTATTGTTGGTGCATGGAGTCGCTGAAAAATTTTTAAACTTTTTCAAGTTTCGAAAAATCTGAAATTTCAAGAAGAGAGAGACTTGGGTCGTATCTCACGACACAGTTTAATAAAAAAATTGGGGCCATTTTTAACGGATGACGATTGCTGTGATGTGCCCTTAAAACCAAAATATCCGTTTCAAACTTGGAATGCTGTGAGATCGTTCAGGTAGATAGGGGAATATCAATTTGGAGAAAATCTTCTGAACAGATTAGTTGCTAAGACAGACGTTTCAGACGACTATTCAAACAGACGTTTTGACAACAATCGATTTTTTCGGTACGAAGGACACATATACCATGGATCCTGACTACACAACGTGTAGAAGTACTTTTGCGTTACCAGTAATTCAATTTTTTGTCAAAAAATCGACGATTTCTGCCGGAACTTTACTATTCCATCTCTTAACTCCGTTCCATTTTCACAGCCGGAGCTCGGGGACGGGGATGTGACGTCGGTCCTTCAAGCCCGGATAAGGAGGTCTCAAACTGCCGTGCTGGGCATGGCTAAAACAGAAAGTGTCTCCAGAACATCACTTGAAAGCGCTGGTGGCTGAGTGGCCCTGTCGTGTTCGTGCGAACACCACCGTCGCCCGCTGTTGGCGCGAGGGAACAAAAGAAGGCACGTGCACACGACATACCGGAACTGGAAGTCCGCAACGCCCCAAGAGAAATGAGAACCGATGGATTGACTGCCACGGGCGAACATATCCATCGGCAACGATAGTTGTCATTCAGTGAGCTCTACAGCTTACTCTGCCATAGCCGTGAAATTGGCACCGCCACTACAACGAAAACCACTGAAACCATTACCATTCGTTTGTACCTGGTTTGTACCACAAAAACATTAGTTTGCACCAAAACCACTTACAAGACGCAACACTTTCTATGCGGTAGTGCCAACTCCAAACTAGCACCGCCACCACCAAAAAAATTGGAAACATTGTAAACCGTTTGTATTGGATAGTTCCCCTTGAAGTTTCGTTTGTACCAGACAACTAATGAAGATACAGCCATTTTAGTGAGGAGGTGCATTGTAACTGTACCACCATTCTCGTCACAGGAACCGTAAAAAACGGGATATCACACTCAATCGATTGCATCTGCTGTGTACCGGATAGTTCTATCTGAATATTTGTTTGTACCAGACAACTAATGACGACACAGACAGTTTAATGAAGTGGTGGGCGGCTCATCCTAACCATAACACTCTGCTTTAGCTAAGAAAATTACACTTTTTTAGTTGTTTTTTTTTTACATTCTGACACCACTAGCCGTTGCGAGGCGATCGTGTATGGCCATGAGAAACGGGCGGATTTTGTTTACCTAAAACATTGCCAAAAATGATCAATAGAATGCACTAACAGATCGCGTGGTCACGGAGTGAAAAATTGAAGCATAAGAGTGAACATAAAAAAGCACTATTACACAATTAGTACGAGCAAAATCATGAAATGCAATATTATAGACATATATCTATATGTTTTTGTACAGTAATCGCTAATAATGGCAAAAATTTACATGTTTGAGTGGAAAGGGAAAACTATAGTAAATTAGGCAACGCCGTAATGTTCTTGAGATTGGCATGAATACTCAGGGTTCATGCTTCTTCATGTTTCGTTGTTTTGAATTACGTCCGATTTCACTGTTCGTTGCCTGGTCGTCACGGGATAAATATCACAATTTGAACGAATTGGCGGAAGGTTTATTTTCAAAGCGGAATTTGAGAGAAAACGAAATATCCCCCCCAATATTACGAGAACAGTGACGTAATAAAAAGTTTTCAAATATCTTTTCAATGCTTTTTTTTCATTAATTTTTATTTCTTGGATTACCTGAGCCAATACTAGGACAAATCATAGATTATTCTATTGCTTAACAAGATGAACAGTTTGGTTCTCTCCAATATTGTATAAAGTTTTATATTTAACTTGACAGAAATCGTAATCATTCACTCCTACTGCTCCTTATTATCCTTCTCATCACAATATATACTTTTTATTATTATCTGTTATTCCCCTATTTTATTTTTGCTTAGTTAATTAAACTGCATGATCAATTTTTTCACTATGTTTACAATTGCAATGTGCTATATTATTTCCTGCGGTGCGATTGTATAATTCATAGAAACTATTTGCTGGTTTTCATTGTAATTTTATATCATGTTATAATATTGATTTAGATGCAGATTTTTGTGTAAAGTACATATCAAACTAAAGCTGATAAAATGAAATTACTGCAATATATAATTCTGAGAGCTGTATTATTGAGATCTTCTATAATAAAATTATAACAGTGTTGGAGATATAATCTTCAAAAGAGATTTGCAAGTGGCATAGTCTTTTGTAATCGCTTGTCTTCATGTTACACGCAAAATGAAAAGTGGTTTAAATGTCTTGAAAATAAGACATGGGAACAATTCAAAATGCTACTAAGGCTGAATACATCATTCCTCTTAAAAATTCAATAAAATGTAATTATTAAATTTGCTCATGGGAGGATTTAAATACTGGAGGCCTTCAAGCACAAAACTATTTATTTGGGCACTCCTTCAGAAAAATCTTTAAAACTAAAAAATTAATTATAAATAAATCTAAAAAACAATAATTATGATAGAATATTCACAAGTACAGTAGTAATGCATTTTGAATTACAATAACATACATACATTTACAGATACATGTTTGGTTTCTTGTTGTTCTATTTAATTTATTTTTAAAATCAAACTTGGTTGTTCTGTAAATTATTTGATTAATGATTATTCATATAAAACATTTTATGAAGTTTTTAATCTTCATTTTAAAAAGCCGGCATGGGAATGGGAGTCCCAAGCCTAATTTTGCTTGGAGGATATCCAGCTCTGCATTCTTTTATACCTTGAATGGTTGATATTAACTCCATCAAAACAGTATTTTATCATTGCAACACATTTGAAGCCACTAAAAAGTCTATTTCATCCTGAATTGA